TGGCTAACAAGGCTAAAGGACCCATCTGCACATGCCACACATGACCTCGTCGCACAAAATTGAATATCACGAGTGCCATATGTCTCGGAGTCCTGGCACTGTTTCACCCGCCTCGGTGCAATAGATACAGAAGTGACAGACCAAACCAATAGGGGCAGGTCAGAACTGGTTCTGCATTTCTGCTGGTGGGGGTATAATGATGTCCTCACCCCTCACTGGAATGACGGCATCCTCGGCGTGAGTAGGATTAGTGTTCCGCGGGCCGTTTGCACACAGGTTCACATTGACCTTATTAGCTAATTTTGAAGTCAAATTAGTCAGCTTGTTAGGACTACCACTCATTAAGGATTTGTAAAAAATTCAAACAGGTAATAGCACCTTTTACAGTTTTAAATGAATTTGATCGTTCAAAATAGTACAATTTGTCCCTTGAGTAAGTCTCCTCCAACGCCCTCTATTCGTTAGAGCAGTCGCACAGTTGAGCTGTCTTTTTTGGTCGCTGCAATGGCGAAACATAATGTAAAGTTCATTTTATTCTGATATTGTGGCCTTCTGGTCAACGGAGTACAGCGTACGATCCTTTTTCACCAGCATGCTTCCCCCTTCTGCACCAAGCTGACAACAATATTTTGTCGCGAAGAAGACGACTCGATCGCTGGGACAACATTTCTATTCGCCTAACGTTTCGACATCCGTCGCAGGTTCATCATCAGAGACATAAGCAGAAGGCTGAACATATTCGGGAACCATATGCACGGGAATTCGCAGTATTTATAGGATACAGTAATTACTGCAAACATACAACGACAATATGTGATGGATCTCGAAAAGTCAGGCGAATAAAAGTATTGTCCCAGCCATCTCATCTTTTTCTTGTAAATTACTTCCTGGGACTCGCATGTTCTCTTGTATTGGCAACTTTGTGTCGTTCAACAGAATTGCCGCGAGACAGCATTGTAGATAGAGACAGCGACATGTTACTGGTTAATTACGGTAAGGATGATTTGTAAGGCCGGGATACGGATATAGGAATTGCCCGCAGGTTATTTTATGATAAATTCCGGGGAAATTAGGTTCAGGATTAGAGTGAGGGCTAGGATTAATTTTCAGGTTAGGGTTAGGGTCAGGATTGTGTTAGGGGTTAAGGTTTGAGTAAGGCTAGAGTTAACAGTAAGGTTGCAGTTTAGTTTTACGCTGGGGCCCTGGAATATTTATCCTTCCTAAAATCCATCGTGCAGGGCCACCCATTTTAAGTTAGCAGAGTGATTCCTATTCCCGTATCTCGCTTAGGCGGCTACTCCCAAGCTGGATTATTTTTTGATTGCTCCTTTGCTATACGCATATTATTCTTTCAAAGGTCCCTCAGACGCTTTTTGATTTTTCTTTTCTCTCGCCACCGCCAC